GCTATCAAAGACTGATTACAAAAAATAGATAAAAAAAGACCTTTAGTCTCGTTGTTTCTCGTGCTCCTATTCGTGCATGAAAGAACGTATCATGTAACGTCAGCTATTCTCATAAAAATTCGCACTCTTTCTTCTTTCTTTTTACTTAGCTACTTGAGTAATGTTACCGGTTAGAGAATATTACGTACTATGTAAAATTACCTTATCTGTGGTGGAAACTTACATTTTGTATACTAGGATGGTAGCAAACGGCTCATCTGATGGTAAATGGTTACCGTAGCCTATGGAAATATATATCTGATTTAGTTTGCTGGCCCATCTGATAGTTAACAGTTACCGTAGCTTATGGTTTACTTACTTTATACTTAGTTTGTATTAGTTCAACAAAACTTATATTTCACAAAGAACTTAGTGTAATTTTAATTTAGTATTTGTAATAATTAACAATTTATTGTAATTGTAAATTGAACTTTACTAACTTGTAAGTATTATATAAGTATATAATATGCAAGTATAATAATTATACAATAATATATAATAATTATACAAGGGATATATATAATTTTATATATTATAAGAGATAAATGATTTTACATCACTTGTAACTTGTATAGGTTAAAAATATTTATTTCTGACCTCAAAATGACCACATTTGGCTCAGTTTTTTTTTAAGTCAACGTGCGATCCTACCGCCACCTCGGATTATTTTTTGGTTTTGTTATCGGTGTTTATTTAAAATATACTGAACCACATAGAAGATTGATCTGATTTGAAGTCACGACCCGTTGGCTATAAGTCTGTATGATACCAATACCAAACATACATCGACGGAAGAAACCGATAACTCAACTTTCTTTTAAAACAAACAATTTTTAGATTGTATTGTTATTTCCTAGCTTCTCGCCCCGGCTTTGCACGGGTATACATGTATTATATATATAAATCTTCCTCTAGAATCACTCTATGTATTAAAAAAAATCCGTTGCATAGTTTTAAAGATTTAAGCATACATAGGGACAGACAGCGACAGCGACTTTCTTTTATAATATGTAAAGATTATCACAAAAATTATTTTCTTTCAAGTTCTATTATTGTATATTCAATACTTTTATTTAAAAAATACTTGATACATATATTAATGAGATAGTAAGTTGAAAATTGGTGTGCTTTTAACCAATTTTCAACTTTATCTCAATAAATATATGATATATAAAGGTTTAAAACAGTTTTTTGGCTCCGGTGTAAAGTTGGGTTTTCAAGTTACGATAACAGATTTCTTCCGTCGCACAGCGGTATTTGTTTAATAAAACCAGACAAAAGTCAGAAACACAAAGTTAGTCAAAAATTGCATTGAACCTATTATTTTTCAAGCTAAGTAACCGGTCCATCACGTAGCGACAAAAGTTTCCCCTCTCCACATGGGGTTGTTGTAACATATCGCTGATTAAATGCCAAAGTGCCACATGACCCAAAATGGTAAATTTTACAGGAGATCTAATTAAAAAGGGTTCAATTTTCAAGAAGGGTATATTAAGGTTTCTTAAGGGTAAGCAACGCGCACGTGATACCCCCGGTGTTTCAGCCGTTCATAGGCTACGGTAACCATTTACCATCAGACGGGCCGTATGCTTGATTGCCACCATCGTAGTATAAAAAAAAAAACAAAATTTTCACTGTGGTATTTTTACTTTTTTTACGAATCTATAAGTGGTATATCTACGTGTTAGGTGTAGAATCATAGGTGTTTTTTTTTTTAATATAAAAATTATAACGGTTTTGATACAATTTATGATAAATAGTTTCAGTTTTTTTGGCGTTGTGGCCCTTTGTCATTTAATCAGCGATATATTTAGTAGTAATATATATTATGCCATATATATGTACGTAAGTATATGTTAATTCAAAGGTGTTAATTTACTAGTCAAGTACATCACGATAAGTTTCCTGTTATTGTAAATTGTTCTTAGTTGTATTCATATAAAATACAAATTGTATTGAATTGTAACAAAACTTGTAAATCTTAAGGAGCGTCTGCATTGATAATTTAAGTATCGCATTGGAAGGTAGAACTGATAATGTTTTTAGCATTAAAACCGCCCGAATCTTTACATCTATACATATAAATAAAATTGGAGTGTCTGTTTGTAATATTGAAATAACCGTTTAGTTTACATGATCTAAATGAAGTTTTACTTTCTCAATTATCACTGTAACATTATTATAGGTTCTTTACTAAGAATCATGGTTGGAGAGACATCACAAAGTATATAACACCTAGCTATGTATCAAATTATAAATTTTGCGTGAACAACAATAAATCTCAAAAACAATAAATCCATCTCAATCATCACCACCACCACTACTGCCACCATCATCATCACCATCAATCCACTGCTGGACGTGACCTTTCCGACGCACTCAACTATAGTCTTTATAATTAGTCTAAGCTATGATAATATTTATTACTAGATGTATAGGCGACTTCGTCCGCATGGAATTTAACTTTAAATTTCTAAAATAAAAGTAGCCTAAGTTTAACGGGACTTTTATTGGCAGGCTTTTATTGACTTTTATTGGCAGCCATTTCAGAGATTAGTCGGAACAAACAGACAGACAGATGGACAAAATTGTAAAAAATGATATTTTGGTGTATGCACCGTATTTATATTCATATGCATGTAGTAAAAAACGGTTTTTTTCAATATTACAAACAGACACTCCAATTTTATTTATATGTATAGGTTTGTCGCTGCAGACGCGTCTTCAGATATTAATTACTTTTAAATCGCTTAATAAATTTGTGCCTAAGACTAATATAGGATTATAGATATTGTAATAAATTACATTTTTTTATGATATTACAGTGTTTTTTTTCTGCGCCATTTTTTAATCTCACACACACACGAATATTGTTTTTTTTTATTGGGTTTGGGCTATTGTCAGATGCTTGTAGCATCTATAGCACTGCGATCTACGTAGATCTATTGTGCTCGCCCTTTTTTCAGAGTCTGCTGCCTAGACCCGTCAGGGACAAGAATTGAAGGATATTCTTAGGAGCGATGGTTTTTATCTCCTCGGGAAAGAGTGTAAACTTTCCAAAGGGGATATTTCGTTTATGCATGAGTGGGCTACAACCACATAGGATGTGTAGTGGCGTTTCCTCTTCAGTTTGGCAATATCTTTACGACTGTTATCCCAAATGGACTAATCAGAGCCATTGTCAATTGTTTACCATTGTCGATGTTGAACGGTTTTTTATACTACTATGGTGGCAAACTAGCATACGGCTCATCTGATGGTAAACTGTTACAGTAGCCTATGGACGCTGGAAACACTAGGGGTGTCACGTGCGCGTTGCCGACCTTTAAAAAACCTTCATATAAGGGATTGTTACTAATGTGAACTTATAACTCCATTGCTAGCACTGTACCATGTCAATTGACCTCCATGCGGTTCCGTAGAAAACCAATTATAAATTTATGGTGAATTTACCAGGATGGGCTAACTGACCTGACCTCATACTCATCAACCTCCACTGGTTCCCGGCCGGCGTCTACCGTTAACGCAGGAGTACCAACCCATCATCCTTAGGATTGTCAATGTAAACGCAATACTAGATTTATCTGAATTCAACGTGGAAAGGACTGAGTTAGGGGTTGTAAATCAATCTCGTATTCAGTACCATCTTGACAGTTCAATCGTGGTTCTTATGTAGTGGATAGAAGAGCCATTTCATTATCCGTATTACAGCTCGCAATTTCTCCCTACTGGCTGACATTCTGGTCATCTCCTGGAGTGGACCGTCTAAAAACTGTCTTAAGTACCACAATAGTAGAAAATATAAAAAAAAACCGCATGTATAATAAAATCCTTTATTTATTTACATTTATTTGCATTACTACTTAATCTAAGGCTAAGGATTAAGAAAATACAACAGAGCAAAGGAAATAATAGAAGAATATAAATATCTATATAAAAAAGGTGGGCAATTTACACTGTAGTTAATAGTAAAACAATAGTATTATAAATTTGAAATAATAAAATAAATGTCACTCATAAGACTGGCCTTTGTATGCCCACATTATTATTAGAAAAAACAAAATAACGAAATATGTTTCCTTAGTCTCACATACAACGAAAATTTAATTAAAAACTTAATTTAATATACATATAATAATAGACATATTTAAATAAATATAATTGTCTAAGTCCAATAATTAAATAAATAAAATTAGATGAAAAAATTGCAATAAGTAAATACAATACAAGCAGTTTTTAAACTAAGAGCGATCTCAGAAAACATTCGAATATAGAGTAATAATTCAATAATATGTACAGAGACTCATCCAGATACAGGGTTAGTTTCTTGTGTGTATGACACAAGAAACTGTAACATTTTCATATATAAGAAACAAAGAGGAAATCTAACAATATGTTTTGTTGTATTTATACTAAATTAGTCATGTGACCATGCTGTTTGTATGAACGATTTAATAATAATTTTCACTTTACTTTAAAAATGTAGTTTCAGTACATTATAGCTGCTCTTCGGTTACAGCTTCTACAATTATTTCTTATTTAAAAATTTTGATATATATGTACTCTTTAAAATAGGCACATATAAATTAAAAAAGTAGCTATATTTTTTTATAAACGACAAATCAAATTATCACTCAGTTAAATTAACAAACAGCTATATATATAAATAATTCCGTATCATATTGCTAAAAATATACACTGCATACTACACCGTCAAAAAACCAGTTAATACAATATTTAGATATTAAATATTGCGTAAATATATTACTTTATTGCCCAAAAGAAATATATTCCGCCATTTTAATTTTACAATTACTTATACACTATGCATTTTGTACTCTGATTCCATTGCATACGTCTCAAAATCCTTTAATGATGCGTAAGTCGTCGGGTTCTATCACAATTTACTTAAAAATAATAACTGATGCTTGACAATCGGTAACTAGAAATGCTCGAAATAAAATACAAGAATTTTTAGGTAATTTTTTATCTGTACTAATATTATATAGAGGAATAAACCAAACTCATAAGAGAGGTAATGCCTCTCTTTTGAGTTTGGTTTGGACAATCTTCTACATTACTAATCCGATTTTGAAAATTCTTTTACTGTTGGATAGCCTGTTTATCAAGGAAGACTATAGACTACATAAAATCACGCTACGACCAATAGGAGCGGAGCAGGAATGAAAAATGTTGCAGAAACTGCGAAAATGTAACGCGAAGTTGCTCGGGTCATAATAAATGTGTATTTAGTAATTAAATGAAATAAATATAATATGCAACTCGTTGTATTTATATTTTGAAGCTCTTATTAATAATTAATTTTTCTCTTTCCTAACATTCCTCAATGTTCATTTGTCAAACATCCAGCTAAAACTTTTAAGTGTCATAAACTTAATAATAAAAATATATTTAATAAAATAACATCGAATTAAACAATAACAAAGTGATGTTTAGTACGGACCGTCGTTCTGGTAGCCTTGGTTTTGGTAGGCGTCGTTCCCTTGGTAACCGACTTGGTTCCTACCGGACTGGCTGTTCCTATCGTAACCGCCGGTCCCTACATCCTCGTAAGAGATCCTTGGCTTGTAGCCATCTTGATCGGCTTCGTATTCCACAGTCTATGATAAAATAAAAAAATTACTACCTACGATAGCTACCTACTGTCAAATCTTACATTTGACGGACTCAGTGGTGTAGTTTTAGCACACCGTAATTCCGATGGTCGCAGGTTCGATTCCTCTCACAGCATAAACTTGTATTATGAGTATGATTGTTTGTATCGGTCTGGGTGTTTTCTATGTATAATATGTATTTCTTTACGAAAAAAATCTATGTATTTGTATCAGTTATCTAGTGCCCATAACAAATGCTTTAGCTACCTTAACTTAGGACTAGATGGCGCTGTGTTAGTCGTCCAGGGTTGTTTATTTATATTTATTCCCACTTTACAGAAATTGTAGGTCTAAGAGAAATAAATAGAAGAATTAAGATTCATACCTGTTTCCTGCCGTCCGGTAGCACCACATAATACACTCCCTCTGCTCTGTCGCCCTGCCTTGACTCACGGTGACCAAAGTCATTGCCTGACTGCTCATCTTTTACCATATATTCGAAGTTATAGTTGGCTGGCTCCTGAATATTGATTTTTTTGTTATATTAATAATTGTCCATACATCTAAGTAATGTAAATAAGTTGTCATAAAAAAAAGATATTCAGTTGTTTCTTGCCAGTTCATCTCAATTGAATCTGTATACTGAACTGGATGGTAGGGAAAAAAATATAATATAATAATTTGACATTCATAACGGCTAAAATGGTCTACATGAATAAATGATTTTTTAATTTTAAAATTTGTATTTGCTTTTATTGTCATAGACTATATTTCTATATCACAGGCAAGTCAAGAAACAAAACAATGTATATGCATGTTTGTCAAATACATGCGTATTGTGTGTAACGTTTTTTTTTATTGAGGTCGATCCTTATGTAGTACCCTCTGGAAACAATGGTTAATATCTGGTGATTTTGTCACGTTAGAGGGACCGATTTGATTGTTTTTTCCTATCATCTACCACTGCCCTGCCAGCATACAGAGGTAGTACAGGCGGGAGCAACATTTACAATTAAAAAAAATGACTTACCCCGTTAGAGCCATCATCCCCATTGTAACCACCACGTCCAGGAGGCAGGTAGGCACGGCTTTGTGCAGCTCCAAAGTCATTGGAGGCTCCAGAGTATTGACCACCTGAAAAAAATGAAAATTGATTAGTAAAGAATCAAATTCTAGCACTGAATTATCTATTGCTACCTGCCGCGGTTTCACCCGCGTAAAATTTATAACCTATGTTATTCTGATGTATAATCTATATTATTGCAAAGTTTCATTAAAATCCATTCAGTAGTTTTTGCGTGAAAGAGTAACAAACATTCATCTATCCATCCTAACTCAGAAACTTTCGAGTTTATAATATTCGTAAGAAGTAAGATTGTTCTTAAAGCAATCTCTTGTAAATGATCAGTCTGTAAGAAATTGCTTTAAGCGATGAGGCCGCCTTTTGTTTTGGACATTTATAGAATGTTCCTTTTACGTAATTAATTTTCTGTATAAACTTAAGGATAGCCAATATGCACGCCAGGGATGTCCTGGCGTTTCAGACGTCTTTAGACTACGGTAACCGTTTACCATCAGATAGCTGTACGCTTGTTTCCACCATAGCTGTATAAAAAAAAAACATACCTCCAACACTTCCAGATCCTGGAGCACCGTATTGCTGCGAAGGAGCAGACCTTGGGGCACCATACTGACTGCTTGGTGTTCTTGGGCGTCCATTTTGTCTATTTTGCCCAAATTCAGGGGCACCGTATTGAGAAGATGGTTGAGATCTGAATTGAGATGATGCTGATGGTAATCCATATTGGCTGGAAGGGCTCTGGGGCTGTGGGGCTCCGTAGGTCGATGAGGGACGGGAGTTACGAGAAGATGGGGCTCCGTAGGACTGAGATGGGCGACTTCTGAAAGGAATAAATTAGTTTTTTAATTTATGAATATTGTTCAACCTGTAGTAATGATTTATTCTGGTGTGGTACCGGTTTTAAGAGATGAATATGCTCCAACCACCTGTGCTAATGGTTTAATCCGGTGAGGCACCAGTGGAGGATGATAGAATATAGATGAAGTGAGGTCAATTAGCACATAGTTGCGAATTGTGAAGGAACAACATGGAGGTCATTCAGACATGGTACATGATATGGTTGGGACCTGTCCCATAATTATTTACGGATGTAATTTGAACCAGAACTAGTAAAAGCAGTAACAAAACTGACTATGTGGTTAATTTATATGCGGTCGAAGTGGGAGCGAGAGGTGCCAGAAAATCTTTCTAGAATCTTTTTAAAGATCTTGGCCTGTCAACAACTGCAGTGGATTCTATCTAGAACGTGTGTCTAAAGCCGTACTAGCTGGGTCCTACTAGGTTTGTCTGGGCAGGGAGAGAAACACGAGCGGTGAAGGTGAGTGTTGACGTAGGTCGGCAAGGAGCCTCTTAAACCTACACCCTGGACACAAGACCCGGGAACTGCTCGTATTTCCTTCTCTGCCACATGGTGGGCACGGCAACCGTACGGTGATTCCATGGAATGCTAAGAATTTCATCTCACTTTCTCTGTCTTGATATGTGTTCTGTTTAAATACACGAATAGTTGTCTCTCCTCTTTGAAACTATAAGTATAAAGTAAAACGTATATATCAATTATTTACCCGAAAACAGCGTCGGTCTGCCTCTGAGCACCGAACCCGGGACTCGAATTTGGAGGACCGTATGTCTGGGACGGTGCTGACGAGCCTCGTTGTTGTGGAGGCAAGTACCTGTTCATAGTAAAAAAAAATTACCTTCGGGACTATAATCCCAGATGGGGTAAGCAGACGTATTATCAACTGTGGCATGTTTTTTTTGTTGGACAATTCACACAGCGCCATCTAGTCAAACGCTAAGAGCTTGTTATGGGTACTAGGCAATTGATACAAATACTTATATACATTTGTATTATAAACATGTACAACATTTATTTGAAAAGAATACGAGCTGAGTTGAGTATTCTTGTCAGTTCTCCTCATCTTGAAATCATTCCGAACTGACGGTAGATTTGACATATCATAAGAGTCTGTAATAGACCTACATGAATAAAGATATTTTGAATTTGAAATTGTTTTTGTAAATACATAATATACATAGAAAACACCCAGGCCGATACAAACAATAAACTCATTTGTACCTCGCGAGGAATCAAATCCGCGACCATCGGAATTAAAGCTGTCTGCAAAACCGCTAAACTACCGAGGCCGTCATTATATACATATATAGAAGAGAATATAAAATTTGCAAAACTCATGCCGTAATAAAACGTTTGCAAGCTATAGCTAGCTATTGACTGAAGGAAATGTCAAAATAGTTCATTGAAATAGTGTTTATTTTCGAAAATCGTTAGGTACCTGTAACACCTCAATGGTGATTTATAAAGAGCTCTAAATATCCATTGTGTGAGACGAAGGTTGCAATTCGATGCTTACCTATTGTCAACTGGAGGTTCAGCTATTATAGAAGCCACCATTACAGCTAGAACGATTAAAATCTGAAATAGTAAATAGAGATATAAAGATCACTAGTTAATATATAATAATAATAATAAAATAAAAACTTGATAAAATCGTAATTTACACTTGATAAAATTATAGGTGATGCCGCGGAATGTTTAAGAAGAATCTTTAGATATAATTAAGAAAAAACAAAACAATATGTTGTTTTTTTTTTGGTTTCGTTATACTTTAGGAACTGCAAATAGGAACTATGCCCATACAGCCATGTCTGTATGTTACACCGTTCCATGCTTATAAGCATAGAAGAAACAAAACAATATCACCGTTCTTTTTTTTTGTTTCTGTATATCCTTTAGGAATCAGCAAATAGGAATTATGTCCATACAGCCATCTCTGTTTGTTATGCCGTTCTATGCTTATAAAAAGAAACAAAACAATATCACCGTTCTTTTTTTTTGTTTCTGTATATCCTTTAGGAATCAGCAAATAGGAATTATGTCCATACAGCCATCTCTGTTTGTTATGCCGTTCTATGCTTGACGTTCTATTTTCAAACTTAGTAATTTTATTTTTAAGAAACAACAAAAGGCTATTTGTGTTCACAAATAATATCTAAAGCCAGTGACAACAGAAAAAAATCCAGTTACTTACCTTCATTTTGGATGTTATTTCTTTAATATTTGATGAATAGCTGTAATATAATATACATAAAAATGTATTAAATAATTATACAACTAAATTATATATCTTAATATTAATACTTGAAGCAAACATTTGTACGCTTTTTATATGGGGGGCATAAAACGCAAAATTAAAGTTTAAGAGAAGGTGGTGCAGTAAGTATACAGTATGTATACAGACAGAATTTTATCCAAATCGGTCCAGCCGTTCTGAAGTAGTTACGTGACAAACACACAGAATAATTAAATATATACTAAGATATTAACATAAAAATATACCTTATTATGGCACTATTTTACACACTTAAGGCCAATTCCAATATTATATACTATATACATATATAAATATATGTGTTTATATTTTATGTATATATATAAATTTAATTGTGATATATTCACAGTTTGTCTAAGACTGAAATGTTAGTCGATTAGGATCCCTTTGGGTAGTATAGAAGTCTTCGGTGCTAACGCGCATTAATTTTATCCAAATAGGTCCAGCCCTTTAGGAGTAGGTTAGAGATAAACACAGAATAATTATATACTAAGATATTAACTAAATATATACCTTACTATGGCACTATTTTACACACTTAACACCAATTTCAATATTATATACTATATATATATATAATTATATATATATTTTATGTATATAAATATATATATATTTAACTGCGATATATTCACAGTTTGTCTAAGACTGAAATGATGGTCGATTAGGATCCCTTTTGCTTATATACTATTATGACTGATTAGTTCAGACATAGAATGCATCTTCGGTGCGCACGCGCATTAGGGATGTCACGTTCTCCATAAAAATATCAATTATTTATGATGGCATATGTATAATCTATTTTTTTTAGAACCCTAATATTAGGTTCCACAGCCAATGTGCTATTGTGACAGATGATTTTTTATCCGTGGATAAAAAATTAGATAGGATAAAAAAATCTACCGATTATATTAATAATCGATTGAATTATAATGGATTTTAATTAATCTTTATATATAAAAATTACGTGTCACGTTGTTACATAGGAATTTTAATATAGTTATAAGTATTCTAATTGTAAACCTGTTTATGATGTTAAATAAATAAATATATTATTATTATATACTTAAACACTTGCACCCGTGACTTCGTCCGCGTGGAAAATAACTTTAATTTTTCTAAAATAAAAGTAGCCTAAGTCACTCCTTATTACATCAGCTACTTGTCAAAAAAAGTCTCGTCGAAATCGGTCCAGCCATTTCAGAGATTAGCCAGAACAAACAGACAGACAGATAAAAATTGTAGAAAATGTTATTTTGGTGTATGTACCGTATTTATATTCACATGCATGTAGTAAATAACGGTTATTTCAATATTACAAACAGACACTCCAATTTTATTTATATGTATAGATTAAAAAATCGTTTATTTGTGCCAACCCTACTGCGCATGTTTGTGAGTGTGTGCGTGCGTGTGAGAGTGATCGTCTCGGCGCATCTTCTAATACTACGAAGGTTGCTCTCCTTTTGATAGTAATCATATCAAACGATAGTTGCGTGTGTGCGTTGTATCCAACACGCGGTCAAGAACATACGTATTTATGTGTGTGTATTTAATTAATTGATATAATTGGTTCAATTCAAATGATCTTATTATGAGAACGTCGAGGCCTAGTCATTAAGTATTAACTTAAACTGCAAAGGTCGTGACTTCAAATCTGGACAATACCAAAAATCATATTGCAAAAAAATGTAAAAAACGGCAGTAGGCACGCGGCGAAACATCTCTGTGCATTTTCTACCGTATATTGTCCACTTTGTCTGCATCACACTTACTTGATATTTATTATTATACTAGCTATTGCCCTCGGCTCCGCTCGCGTTTATTTAAAATTGACAAAGTTTCATACAAACTTTCATCCCCAATTTATCCCCTTGGGGATAGAATTTATCAAAATCTTTTCTTAGGGGATGCATACGTCATAACATCTACCTGCATGCCAAATTTCAGCCCGATCCGTCCAGTGGTTTGGGCTGTGCGTTGATAGATCACTATGTCAGCCACCTTTGAGTTATATATATTTAGATGAACTAGCTGTCCCAGCAAACGTTGTTTTGCCATATAAATTAATAATGCTATAAAAATAGGGGTTAGTGATAGAAGGGTGAAAATTTAGGGTTGTATGTATTTTTTAATGACACAATAAAAAAAAAAGTTTTGTCCAAAAAATAAAAAAATAATGTTAAGGGCAGACAACTCTTATCACTTAGTGGTAGGAAAATAGATAGTAGCCGATTCTCAGACCTACTGAATATGCATATAAAATTTCATAAAAATCGGTCAAGCCGTTTCAGAGGAGTATGGTAAGTACCATTGTGACACGAGAATTATATATTTACCCCATTTTTGCAACATTTTCCACTGATGCGTCGCTTCTATTGGTCGTAGCGTAATGTTATATAGCTTAAAGTCTTCCTCGATAAATGGACTATCCAATACAAGAAAAAATTTTCCATTCGAACCAATTGTTCCTGAGATTAGTGCGTTCAAACAAATAAACTCTTCAGCTTTATAATGTTAGCATAGTTTAATACCAGCTGCTGTTTCACCACCATACCACCATGCCAGAAACTGAAGTACCATCCTGATCATCTGGATGAATGACGGTTCTCCACAGTTTGTCATCCAGAAACTTTTTGCGACGCACAACCACATTGTGGAATCACCTTCCAGCAATGGTATCTCCGACCCGATACGATATTGAAACCTTCAAGAAAAGAGCCTCCTTTTTAAAAGGACTGCAACGCACTTGCAATTCCCCTGGTGTTGCGGGTGCTAATGAGCAACGGTAATCACTTACCATCAGGTGAGCCGCATGGTCGTTTGTCCCCTGTGTTATAAAAAAAAAGGCCGGCAACGTACTTGCAATTCCGCTGATGTTGCGGGTGCTCATTGGTAGCGGTAATCACTTACCATCAGGTGAGCCGCATGGTCGTTTGTCCCCTGTGTTATAAAAAAAAGGCCGGCAACGCTTATTTATGCTCATTGGTAGCGCTATAAAAAAGCTTATTTATCCCGCTATAAAAAAGCCTTGCTTTCTTCCATGTTGGATACAAATATATATATGAAATGTGGTTATTTAATTTTAATGCACAAAAAGAATGTGTACATATGACGGACTTAATACCTTGCGGCGTTTTTTTTTTAAAGGATGATAATGGAACGGTGCACCCGCCTGCGCTAACGGTTTACGCTGGCGGGGCACCAGTGGAGGATACCCTAACTTGAAGTCAAATCAGTTAGCCCAACGTGACAAATTCACCGGGAATGTATCACTATGGTTTCCAGGAGGAACCGCGTGGAGGTCGATCTGACATGGTACATTGCTAGCCATGGGGGTTACTAGTTCCCATTACTAACAATGCCCTTCCCCCGTACCTTGAGGCGTTATCTACCAGGCAACCATGAGTGGTGCAGAGAAAGATTATTGGCGGTCCACTAATATAAATGAGAGATGTATAAATATAATGCTGGCTCATCCGTCATACTCGTGAACGAGTGCTGCTTGTAGGGACTGGTCTGCTCTTATCACTACGACTGATTTAATCTTATTGTGTTTTTATATTTGGGCCTAAATAAATTAGTGCTGGTTGGTAGTTTGTATTCACACGTTTCGACTTGTAAAATGTGAACTTACAAGGATTGTTTAAAAGAGCAACACACAAGTTTCTTGCTTATTCTTCTTGTGATGAAACAGCTTTCCGAATAAGCGGTAGATTTAAAAAAATGTTGACTATTCAAAAGTGCTTAAATTAAGTTTATATGAATAAATGATTTTCTATTCTATTCTATCCTAATGGTATAAATATAAATGATAGTGTATTTATTATTTATATTTATATTTATCCCAATTTACATAATATCTTTAAATTGTAGCCTATGTTATTCTGATGTGTAAGATATATTATCCTAAAGTTTAATCTAAATTTAGTAGTGTTTGCGTGAACTAGTAAGAAACATCCATCCATCCATACTCACAAACTTTCGTGTTTATAATATTAGTAATCTATACATATAAATAAAATTGTAGTGTCTGTTTGTAATATTGAAATAACCGTATTTTACTACATGCATATGAATATAATACACCAAAATGACATTTTTTAGACTTTATCTCTGTCTGTCTGTTTGTTCCGGCTAATCTCTGAAATGGCTGGATCGATTATGACGGGACTTTTTTGGCAGGTAGCTTAGGCTACTTTTATTTTAGAAAAATAAAATTAAATTCCACGCGGACGAAGTCAAGAGAACAGCTAGTTGATCAATAAAACGGTGATATACAGGAAATAATAGAGTTAACATTTTTGCGTTTTTATAGGTCTTTTTGATATGTGCCTTATTGAATTCTGTCCTAATAACTCTACCCACAAACCAAATATATAGAGAAGTGTTATAATTCTGTCTTATCCTTACTTAATATTATAAATGCGAAAGTAACTCTGTCTGTCTCACTTTCACGCCAAAACTACTAAACCAATTTAAATGAAATTTGATATACAGATTCTAAACCCTGAAAATGTACATAGGCTACTATTTAACACGAAAAAGGGGTTGCAAGGGGTAGAAAGTGGAGATGAAATGTTTTATGAAAGTATCGTCATTTTTAGAAACTTAAAAATTATTTTTGAGCTGTTGATTAAATATAAGTAAATATGACACTTGGTTGTAAAAATTTTACCCTTAAATAAAACAGGGGATGAAAATTTGTATGTAAATTCGTCAGTTTTGTAGCTAGAGCGATGCAACTTTTATTAGGTTTATTGGGTTAGATTATGAAAGGTTTTTTTGGCCAAGGTCATTATTTCACGCGAAGTCGCGGGAACAGCTAGTATTATTTAAATATGTAATAATAATAATAATCTCAGGACAATTCACACAGCGCCATCTAGACCCAAGTTAAGCTAGCTAAAGCTTGTGTTATGGGC